CAAGTGGGTTGAAGCCGAGCCTTTGGCAACAATCAAGGAGAAAGACGTGAAGCGGTTTGTCTAGCAGAATGTGGTAACTCAGTTCGGCATCCCTAAAATTTTGATCTCTGACAACGGCACCCAGTTTGACGGTCGCCTATTCAGAGGGTTTTGTGAAAATTTGAAGATTGAATTCTACAACTCCACCCCGGCTTACCCACAGTCCAACGGTCAAGCCGAGGCGTCAAACAAGACTATTCTTGATGGACTGAAGAAGAGGCTTGAGAAGGCCAAGGGAAAGTGGGCCGAAGAACTTTCCAGCGTCCTTTGGGCATACCGAACTACCCCGCGGCGTGCTACTGGGGAAACTCCATTCGCTTTGGCTTATGGCATGGAAGCGGTCATTCCATTGGAAGTTGGCATGCCCACTCTCAGAAGTGAAAGTTTTGAGCCTGAGCTGAACGCCGAGGCCATTGCTCTGGAATTGGATCTGGTGGAAGAGCGTCGGGAAAAGGCTCTTATCCATGTGGCCGCCTACCAGCAAGAGCTCTCCAGGAAGTACAACAAGACGGTACACCCCAGACCGTTTAAGGTGGGTGATTGGGTCTTGAGAAAAGTTATGGGCAATACTCTGGTGCCAGGAGAAGGCAAGCTAAGTGCAAATTAGGAAGAACCCTACAAGGTAATCGATCTGGTGGGCAAGGGGGCATACCACTTGGAGGATTTGGATGGTAGAGCGATCCCGCGGCCATAGAATGCGGCCAATCTCAAACTGTACTATTTCTAGCTTTTGTTTTCTTTTTGTGCAAATGAATTTTTTGCCTTACACTTCAAAATGTAATTCTTTTTGTCAATATATAGAAGTGTCTTCTTTGCCTTAGCATTTTGATTGATTGCTTTGAATATTTGAGATTCTCAACCGAGATGATTTACTCCGGTTGAAGGAGTTGATGGATTGTTCAACTCAGGGATTCCAACCGAGATGAGTTACTCCGTTTGAAGGAGTTGATGGTTTGTTCAACTCAGAGATTCCAACCGAGATGAGTTATTCCGGCTGAAGGAGTTGATGGTTTGTTCAACTCAGAGATTCCAACCGAGATGAGTTACTCTGGTTGAAGGAGTTGATGGTTTCAACTCAGAGATTCTAACCGAGATGAGTTACTCCGGTTGAAGGAGTTGATGGTTTGTTCGACTCAGAGATTCCAACCGAGATGGTGTATTCCGGTTATACAAGATGTTTTGTTCAGTTCAGGCATGCTCAACCATGATGGTTTAGTCTGGTTGAAAGAATTAGTGATTTGTTCAACTTTGTTGTTCCCACCGAGATGTTTATTCCGGTTGAAGAAGTTCCTCAATTTTGCTAAATTTACCGAGATGTTAACTCCGGTCAAGCTAGTTGGTGATTTGTGCAACTTAGTGATTTAAACCGAGATGTTTTGCTGAAGATAGAGTTCGAGAAAACCGTGCAAATACTTGATGAAATTAAAGCTTTTCATTGATAGAAAGTTAATACAAAAGGAGGAGCAGAGAGCCCGGTTACATGTGCAAAGCCAAAAAAAGCAATAGAAAAAAGAAAACTGGTTAATTACAGAATAAAGAAGGTAGGCTGACCGAGCAAGTTTGAGCAGCTTACATGAGGAACCGAAGTTCTTGCTTATAAACCAGCCCGGTACGTCGGCTGTTTCGTAATTGCCCGATACCCAGAAAAAATCGTCGTCATGCAAGTATTTATCCGGGGTGCCGGTTACAATTTTCTCCTTGCCCAGTCTGATTTTCAAATAATAGGCTAGGTTGTCACTGGTGTGACCCATCGTGTATTGCCTTAATATCTCGGCTAAACCTAAGTTGGTGCCTAGCCGGTTGTTCAGTTCATGGACGCCGTTGATAATTCGGTAAGTGTTGGTGGACACTTGTATGGGTGCCAGCCCGGTGCGGCGGAGGAACTCGGTGATAAGTGGGTTGAGTGGAAAGCGAAGGCCTCCTTCGATGATAGATAGCACGGTGAAGGGGCATTGTTCTGATCTGCCCCAAGGCGTTGTTTGCTCTTCTGCAAGCTTAAGGTGGACGTCGGCCGGGATGCCGTACTCCTCCATGAACTCGGCCAAGGCAGCCGGAGTATCTACGAGGAAGCGGAATTTCCCCATTTACGACCGGCTAAATTAGCTCGGCTGTGGTTTGGCACTGTCAAGTGATTTGTGGCTGCTCGGTCTTTGGGAGCCTCAGGAATGGTCAGTGGTCCCCTTGGACTCTACAGGAAAAGGAGGACAAGTGTAAGAGGGAGTGCGGTCGCGCAAAGCGAGCTTGACTTTAGCTCGGTCGTCTAGAGTGCCAAACCACCTCGGTCGTAGAGGCTAACCAAGGAGCTCGGCTGCCCAAGCAGACCAGATTTTAGCCCTGTTGAGCGGCCAAGACCTTTGTTATCCCGGTTCTTGCTATGGTTAAGTCTAACAGGTTATTTGCTCGGTCGGAATGGTTTTTTGGATCAAACAAAGACCTGGAGCCCGGTCCGTCCCAGTTCTTCGAAGTTCATCAGCGAAAATGAAGAACACCATGAACAGTGGGAGGTTTGTGATGATTTCTATGGCCTATGTCCTAAGAACTACGTTTTATTGCCCTATTGTGTGAAATATCAAGGAAAATAACAATAACAAGGGTTGAATGGCTTACCAATATGGAGCAGTGGCTGCTTCTTCTTCGAGCGCGAGTTCAGGAATGGCAGAGGAAAGGCAAGAGCTCTGGGTTGCTTGGAATGGCAGTGAGTCAGTAAGAACTCAAGGAATATGAGGGGGGAATGTTTATAGAGGAGACGAGACCGCCCAAATTCAAATTCTAGCAAGACGGCGGGTTGGCTGCTCAAGAACCAATGGCAGCCCGCCACGTGTCCCCATTTATGACGACGTCAGAACTGAAGAGACAGGTTGAAGAGTTGAGTCAACTGGGCTACTTTTGAAGAAGAGGACGTCAACCGAGGAGTATAACTGATCAAGTTTGCAGACAGGAATGTCAACTAGCCCGGTCGCCATTTCGCATACTGAGGGCCGAAGAAGTGTTATCCCGGTCGAAATAAGTAATCCTAGTCACGCTTTTGAGGACGGAATTAAGGGACAATTGAGAGGGAGATTTATGATCTCAGATTGGGCCGTGACGTTAGCCGAACAGATTTGGGCCGAGGTATTGGGCTCCAAGATCAGGCCATGATATTGCTCGGTAATGGCAAAGCCCACGTGGAACCGAGTTATCTGATCTCGGTTCCGCGAAGGGCGGACAGGTGAAGGAACAGCCTAGATGAGGCTCCCCGGCTCACGCGTTGCAAGGTTGTAATGCACGCACCTTAACCTGGTAGGAAGGCCTGTGCTTGGAGCTTGGCCGAAAAGGTCTTTGGCTGACCGGTGTTACCAATCTCCAGCTCAGCTTCGCCGGAATACAGTTGAGCACGGCTGGAATTAAGCCCGGTAGTAGGAAACTACGACATCAACTGCACTTGGGCATGTTCAGTATGGCCGTTGATAGCCGAGATAATGTTGCCCGGCTGCCGTGCTCCCAGCAGAGTGGGCTGGCAGTTGGGTTAGGTGATGTATAGCAAGATTTGTGCTGACAGATGGGATAACAGAGCCACGTGTCGAGAGACCAATGGGAGTAGATTTGGGGCGCAGAAGGGTATATAAGCATGTCTGCGCCCCCCATACGTGACATAGGAACACTTTGTAAGGAAAGTCTTACACTCAAACAACTCCACTCTCCCTTTCTCTATCCTAAGGTGTGTGTATTCTAACTTGATCGTCGGAGGGGTTTTCCGGCCACACACCGCCGGGTAACTCACCGTTATTTGCTCGCAGGTGATCGGACAGAAACGGAGCACGGAAGAAAAGAGTACGGGCTTGCCGGAATATTTGCTCCCCGTACAGTCAGGGTCCGATTTTTGAAGATGGAGATATGATACTATTTGGTAAGCTTCATTTACTGTTTTAATTAAGCTCTAAGATTGATCATATTTTTTAAATTAAGGTGGTTTTGATTTCAATAGAATAAAGGTGAAACATAATGGAATGATAATTCTCTTACAACTAAAAAAAGGCATTCTTATGTAGAATAATGATTATCTCATTCCACTTTATTTCATTAAATCACGTTACAGCATTGCTTACTTGTTCTTTTAAAACCTATTACGCAACACATTTTTTTTTTAAAAAAAAAATGGGACATGATGACTCATTTTTTTCTCTTCAAATAATTAGAAAATAAAATATAACTCAGTTATTATTGAAGTTGGGACGGTTTACACCGTCGCAAATGATACATAATTATTAATAAACCGACGTCATTTTGGTAATCCTTTTTTCGCGACGGACATTTGCCGTCGCAAATTGTCGAGTATTTGCGATAGCAAACTTATGCCGTCTCAAACATTTTTTTTTTGGCGACGGTTCAACACGCCGTCGCTAATACTTCCGCATTTTAATACCTACCCGTGCAGTTTTATTACCGACGGTTAAACGTTGTCGCTAAAACTATTTTTTGCGACGGTTAATTTTGCCGTCGCAAAAGACCATTTTTTGCGACGGGAAACGCACCGTCGCAAATGCTTCCGTGTTTTTTGCCCACTTTTCTTGTAGTGTTTACTGTTTTAATTAAGCTCTAAGATTGATCATATTTTTTAAATTAAGGTGGTTTTGATTTCAATAGAATAAAGGTAAAATATAATGGAATGATAATTCTCTTACAACTAAAAAAAGGCATTCTTATATAGAATAATGATTATCTCATTCCACTTTATTTCACTAAATCACACATAGTCATGACCATATTACAGCATTGCTACTTGTTCTTTTAAAACCTATCACGCGACAAATTTTTGTTTATTAAAAAAAAATGGGACATGATGACTCATTTTTTTTCCTTCAAATAATTAGAAAATAAAATATAACTCAGTTATTATTGAAGTTTCTCATTAATGAAAAATATTATATAAATAATGTCACATAATAATTTAATATATCTAATAATTTTCTCTGTAACGATAGAGTCAAGGGCGATCATGAGGTGCATATCACACTTGTACCCAAAGCCAGGGAAAGAACAAGTCCACATGGAGCCAAAGATGCGAGGAATAGCAGCGGCTTGGATTGATGTGGAGGATCATCAGTTCCACCCACCGGCTTCCAAGCTGATCTCCGAGCTGGTCTGCAAGGCGAAGAATGGCCAGCCAGCAAACGAAGCTGTGGTGGCCGAAGAGGAAGCCAAGCTGGCTAGAGTTTTGGATGTGTACGAAGAGAGGCTTATCGATTCCAAGTTCTTGGGAGGTGACAAATTTACTTCGGCTGATCTGACTCACCTTCCTTATTTGTACCACCTAATGCGGACCCCAGTGAAGCGGTTTTTTGAGGAGAGGAGGCGCGTGAGTGACTGGTGTGCCGGAATGTTGGCGCGGCCAGCTTGGACAAAGGTGGCGGAGATGGTTGAGGAAGCTGGTCGGAAAGTTTAAAAATATTTTAATCTGGAATTGCAGGATTTGCTTCCTATTTTCTATTGAATGAAAAAATAATTTTAAGAATCTCTCACTTAAGTCTTTGGGAAATGAATTGAGTTTTTGATTATTTTAGTTTAAATTAAAAATTTTATTCGGGATGAATTTTTTTGATTTTTTATTTTATTGACTATTTAATTTATTTTATCATTTTGTAACTATTTTAACCCTGAAACCTAACTATATTGAATTTGTCTTGAATTAAAATGTGTAGGTAGGATTGAATTTGTGTAATATGATATATATATATATATATATAATAAATCTGAATAACAAAATAAAAATTTTAATTAGATAATTAAGCTTAAATTTATAGTATTATTGATAGAGTATTGTTATTTAAGACAAAAATTAGATTTAATTTTCAAGTCTAATAATATGACAATCAATTAAGATATTAAAAATAATACTATTTTTCTATCTTCTCTAATTATTAATTAATTATTTTATTTACATATCATTAAATTTAAAAAATGAATTTACATATCATTTTGCTCAGTGATAAGATAATTCGTAATTACGTGCAATTGTTGATGGAAATTTTCTCCAAGAAAGATGTAATGATGATGGTACTTTTAAATTTGAGTTTTGGATAGTCACAAATGGAAATATCATGTAAAATTGGATTTATAAAATTTTATAATTCGTTTCTATGTTAATTTGAATTTTATAGTTTTAAAAGAAATTGAAATTTCGTTAGATCATTTTTAATGGCATTTGTTATAATAGTATTATTATTACTATAATTTAACAATGAATAGTAATAAATTATCAAAATATAATAATGATACTTCAATAGTCATATGTCATTTTGACAAATTTCAATCAATTTTTTCTCTAATTTAATAAATTTAGTTGGATATAGACTTTTTAGTAACTTTTTTTATTATTTATTTGTTGTCTTTTATGACGCTTTTAAAAAAAACAAATTAAATATTTACATTTTATCTGACTAAACAAATGTATAAAAAATTCAATAATGCTTGACATCAATAAAAATGGTACTCTAAAAATACCACTAGTGATGTGGCAATGGACGGGACCTACTGCTTGTGTCTTGTTTTTTTTTTTTTTAAATACTTACCAACTCATTAGTGGTGAACACAATTATTTTTAGTGGGACGTATCATTACCCTAAAATTTTTTAATAAATTCTCATAAATTCTGAAGCATGCAATAATCAAGGCTTAGCATCACCAAGACACCATCCAAACATAAATTTGCATAGCAAGACACCATCCAAACCGTTGGATGATTTCATACTGAGATTGACTTTCTGGAATATTCTTCACCTTTCTACATCCCCGAACTCACTTCATTTTCATCAAGGCTGAGCATCTCTCTCTCTCTCTCTCTCTCCATCTTCATCCTTATCTTCTTCCTGAACCATCCACTACAGTCGACCCTCTATTGGTAAACAAAATTATTTTTAGTGAGATGTATCATTACCCTAAAATTTTTTAATAAATTCTCATAAATTCTGAAGCATGCAATAATCACGGCCGAGCATCACCAAGACACCATCCAAACATAAATTTGCATAGCAAGACACCATCCAAACCGTTGGATGATTTCATACTGAGATTGACTTTCTGGAATATTCTTCACCTTTCTACATCCCCAAACTCACTTCATTTTCATCAAGGCTGAGCATCTCTCTCTCTCTCTCTCTCTCCATCTTCATCCTTATCTTCTTCCTGAACCATCCACTACAGTCGACCCTCTATCTTCATTTTGATCATCATCACCACCAGTGCTAATCGGCAAAACCAGTCGGCCATCTCTGTATGTCTCTCTCTCTCTCTCTGGAATCCATGTATTTATCTTCTAAATTAGTTTCAGATTGCGTCAGAAATTTATTAAATTTTTGAAATTGTTGACTGATCATTCGGAAATTGTTGAAATTTGTGAAATTTGTAATTTGTTCTTGACTGAAATTTGTGACAAGTTCTTGTTCTTTCATTCTGAAATTTGTGAATTTGGTGTCTGGAAAATGCAAAAATTGGTGAAATTTGTTTTCATAAAAAATAAATAAATAAATTGAAGGAACATAATAAATAAACAAATTCTGTATTTTACAAAGAATGGTGAATTTCGTTCTTAAAAAAAAAAAAAAAAAACTTTAAACATTTTGGGAGATTTTTCTGGGAGAGGATCAATAACTTTGGAGCCAAAATTTTGTTATGTTTGATGATGTGGCATGTTTGATATCTGCCATATTTGACAGGAGAAATTGTAAGCCGGTGGAGGTCTACTTTTTCTCACTCTTGCCAAAGAAAAATGGTTTGTGATCTGAATTGGCTTAAATGATTCAAATGTGTTAAAACAAGGTCATTTTAAAATGACTTTGTTTTGTGATATTTAAGTTATTTGAACAAAAAAAATTTGAATCACTTAGCATTATTGCTTGTCAAATTATTATTTGGCAGCTTTTTGGGCAGCTCTATTTGGAGGTGCTCTTAGGTAGCCCTCAAACGCAACTTTCACCAAATTGATTGATTTATAATCAATTGGTAATTATTTACCACTAAATTAATAAAAAATTGCATTAGCATTATATATCTTTTTCGCCATTATGCAATGCTTTGAATGGTTACCAATAAGATAATGAATGTACTATTTAATCATTGGACTTTGTGGATAGCATATATTATCCAATCTTCTAATTAAATTATATGAAATATGATGAAATAGATTGTGGTGAGGTGTAAAGCATAAATTATTTTCTAAACATTTGCTTTAATGAATCCTCTTGATCATTTTTGAAATCTTCATTGCCACCACCCACGACACTTCAGAGGATCTCCAACGGCCTGTTAAAAAGATTGTTAAAGGTAAAATATTGTAGGTGTAAAAAAATATAATACTCTAATGGTCTGTTATTTGTATTGCTAAAAATCGTAATTATTTTTTTGGGGTCAAATTTGACATAAATTTTTATTTACAGTTAAAGTTGTCAGCACAAAAATATTATACAAAAATATTGTTCATCTTCTTCTCAACAGGGCTGGTTGTGCTGGTTGTAAGGCCGGTTGTTTTGGAAAATGCCTTGAGAGATGACCTCAATGATTGAGAATGGTTATCTTCAGAGATGTTCTCAATGGTTTAGAGTTGTCGTCTACCTGGGAGATATCTCGGATGACTTCAATGATTTAGAATAACTGAATTGAATAAATTAAATGGAGGGAAAAGTTAAAAATAACAATTTGATCATTAAAACAACATTACTATTTTATAATTATTGTACACTATTCATTGTTACATTAGAATTTTAACTATGAAGCGTGAAAAATGCTTGGGAGCACTAATTAGTGCTCCCACTAATTAGGTGGCAGTGGGTCTCGCCATTAATGATGTGATGTTTTGGTCTTGAAGTTGTTTTTTTTTTTTTTTAATTTTTTTAATGCATTAGTGCTATTAGTGATGATATTTTTAGTGGGATGAATCATTGTTGATGAAGCGTTGAAGATCTTCTTACAACTTTTAACCAAACAGCAACTGGCTTCTAGACCCCACGCCCATACCCACTACAATTTTATTATTATTATTATCACCATCACCATCATCAGTGGGTGGGTGTGTCTATCCATTTATTTTCTTTAATTAATAGGACAATGCTCTCCCGATATCGTTTTGAATCATTGTTCAATGCACTATTTATTAGCATTATTAAAAGTTGAAGAACAACATCACGTTGCTTTTTTTAAATATTTAATTATGGGAAATTATGTTTCATAATCTTTTTGTAAAAAAATTATATTTGAAGATTGAATTTGTGAAGAAATTTTTGTAGAGAAAGGATTTGTTGGCAAAAATAAAAAAAACTTTTATCCCTAAAAATAAAATGTATGTCCATCCTGAGATTCAAGCATTCAATATAGCAAAATAAGGGTGCATTGATTAAACAACTTTTAAAGTCGTTATGTTGAGATTACCCATGTCCTACACCTCTACTACACCACTCAGAATTAGATATCCAGGATTACTCTTGGGGGTTACTCAAATTTTTTTTTTTAATTTTTTTTTGTTACCAAAACTTTAATGGTGGGAGAAGTTGGATGTCAAAGTGAGCCCTGCCGCGGGTTCACATATGTTTTTAAGGTTATTTTTGGTTTATGAATTTGGATATAACGATTTGGGATGAGAAATGAAAAATGAAAAAATGTGTATGAAACGTTAATAAATTATTACATTTTATTTATATTTTTTCTTTTTTTTTTTTACATTCTTATTCAAATTGATAAATCAAACACAGCATAAGTGAATGTCCAAGTGTCTATTAACAGATTCAATAAACAAAAAATATTCAATATCAGCGTAACTATAAATAAATTGCCACCATTCATATATGTGCTTACAAATAATTTCTTTTTACAATTACACAAATGTACCGACCTGGGCCCAAACTAGGCCTATCATACAAAGACATGGCCCAAGTGTCAGCCAAGAGCCCAATAGATGCCCCCCCATGGGAACATCATAGCCAAGCTTGGAGAAATTCTCTTGCAATAATCGAGACACGATATTGTTGAGATATAACTTTTTATTAGCTGGTGGCATCATGTAGTGTTGCTATTATACTCATTATTATTATTATTATTTTGTCGTAGCTAGCAACAACATCCAACACCACCAGAGAGGTTATTGGTGACTTTTGAGCATTATTTACACTATTTATATTATATCACTTATCATATTGTATCTTAAAAATCAACAAGAAAATATTAAATTCTATTTTTTAAATTAATAAAAATTATGTTAATGCTCCATGTAAACTTACTATGGGATTGGGATTATTAATTCGTGGGTCCAATTATCTTATGTTTGTTTTAACATTTTGGTTTAGGATTATTAATCTAATGGATAATTAATCCAACAAATTTATAGAATTATTAATAATGGGATAGGGGTGGGATTATTAATTCAATGAATATTAATTTAATTGGATAGTGAATGTCACACTAATTTAATAAGATTATTAATACTTCACTATTAATTTTGTGAATCAAACATGACCAAAGAGTATTAAATAATTTTCTATTGAACACGAAGCCAAAGTGGCTAGCAGTTACGCATGCGAGTACGCACGTCTGTAATTGCAATGCAGGTCCATGTATATCACAATAACATTTGACACAACTTCCCATGATAGTTTTGTGTGATTTTTATTTTTTATTTTTACAACCTTAAGTTAAACATCAAATTTGGACCATAAAGTTTGCCCTTCTAAAAAGTTGGGCTTGTGAGTTTAGGGCTTCAACCCCAAACGTTATGGCCCATTGGAGGGCCACGAAAACACTTGCTGGTCTACCAAGGCTGGTTTGAATTTTATTTTCCAAATTAAATTGGCATTTGTTTGGTTGGGATAAATATGAAAATTATATTCCACATTGAATGGTGAGTAATATGACATGTGGGTGATGCTATACGGTTGCTGGAAAGTCATCAATGAAACCATGCATATGGCCAATATTTTTTTGTTTTTTGGCGTTTAACAATGACAGCACTCTTCTTCAACTTCCATTTTAAAAGTAATTGTCAAGATCACAAGAAGCAAATTCCAACTGATATTCTAGAAAAAATAATGTTAGGGACATTATATAATTGATTAGTTATTAACTTATGAAATGTAATTCAAGTTAATAAAATTAATGTTAAAATAAAAATTAAAAATATACAGAATGTAAGTGAGAATAAGGGAATCCATTAATAGAATTAAAAATCAAAATATAAAAATTTTATAGTAAAAATAAATGATTTTAATTTGATACATGGCTGGATTGGAAAGAAAATTGCTAAATTAATTGATGTAAGATTTTTTTTTGTTGATTACAAAATTAACCCTCTTTAGAAACTTGGGCCTAGAACGATTAGGTTTGCACCCCAAACTAGGGGTGGGCGCGGGTCGGTTGCGGCCACAGAACCTCCAATCCGCCATCCGTCCGCTAGATTGGCGGATTAGAGAAAATCAATCTGCATCCGTCCACCAATCCGGCGGATGTGAATTGAGCGGATTGGTGGTTTGGCGGATGGATGCAAATCGATTTGGCGGTTTAAAATTTTATAAATTTTCAACATAATTCAACTTGTGCACTTCCTTACAAAAAAAAAAAGAAGAAGAAAGTATTACAGTTAATGACTTAAAAAAATATTACAATCACTACATGTCTCATCCAAAGCAAGAAAGTTTGAAACTTTAGAATATCACAATCACTGCATGTCTCATCCACATACTACAATTACAACATGCCTCATCAATATAAAGTATTACAATCTGTGGTTCTTAAAATATAAAAATAATTCAAACAACCAAAATCATGAAAAAAATAATACGTTTATTTTTTTCAATTCAAAAAAGATATTCAAGTTGAAAACTTTTTTTTCAACAAAATATTTAAACTCTTTTTTAATTGAAAACACAAACAGAATATTTAAACAAACTGAAAACACAAAGTCTTATAAATTACTAGGGGTGTTCGCAGTTTGGCGGTTCGGTTGCGGCCAAAGGAATCTCAAATCCGCCATCTGTCCGCCAGATTGGCGGATTGGAGAAAATTAATCCGTAACCATCCGCTCATCATCACACATCTGTCCAAAATACGGCGAATTGGTTCGGTTCAGTCGGTTTTGGCGGATCGGTCTATCCGCTGCTCACCCCTACCCCAAACCTCATGGGAGGGAACAAATACCCAACAAGCGGAAAGAATTTGGACCTAGATGCAGGCACTTGTGGAATTTGATAATTATTATTTTTAATTTGTCTAATTATTTATTTAGAATTTAAAATTTTAATATATTTAATGATTTGAATGGTTAAAGATCACATTGTATAATTTTTTAATGGGGATTTGGTGATAGTCCCCTCACTATCTAATTTGTCTTTCAAAAGGACAAGAATTATATAAGTACTTTCAAAACCCTCTGATATTTTAAAACTTGTTTCTTTTACTATATTACCCTCATATCTATCAGCTCTTCTATTAAGCCATCTTCACTATGTATTTCAGAGTAAAATTTTACTTTGATACAGAGTAAAATTTTACTTTAGTTTCAGAGTGTAAAATTTTATAGTTTTTCAGAGTAAAATTTTACTCTGGTTCTGTCAAATGAAAAAAACAGAGCAAAATGAAATTAGATCAAAAACAACAAAAATAAATAAATAAAAAAGCAAACAAACAAAAACAAAATAAATTAATCAACAAATCAACATATCTAATTGAGAATAAACACTTCTAAAACTCCATCAACAATCACAAATCTCAATGAAAATAATACATGTGTTCAACAACACTCATACACACAAATATATATATATATACACATATATTCTATTGTTCCTCATCCACATCCTTCCCAACCTCCTGTTCAACTTCTTTCAATCTCGAAGCTTCAGCCTTCGCATTAAACATCGCAAGCATCTCATCAACAACCTCATCATGTTTCTTCTCCGCTTCCAATTGAGCCATCTCCACCACACTCCGAATCTCCCCCATCTGCTCCGAAACCCTAGCTTTCAAATCTCCAAAGAGCTTATTCAGATCTTGAGACAAAGAGCTTATTCCTTAGGTGCAAACAACGAAGCCATTGATTGAGGATGAACTTTGGTTATTTTGATCTTCTTATTGTTTCTATGGAAGCATTTGCTACCAGATCTGGTCACTCCGACCAGATCTCCTTTGAAACCCTAGCCATGGAGTCATCATCTATGTATATGCAACAGTTGTATCAGACGAAGCTTGAGAGATTGAGATTGTGATTAGGGAAGATTTAATTGAGGGTATAATAGTCTGATAAAATATTTAAATAATAAATTTTGTCCTTTATATAAGACTTTATAATTATAAGGGGGTTTTAAAAGTATAATTTTTTTCTTAGTCTTTTTAACAATAAAAAAAAGATAAGGGGAGTTTATAGCCAAATTTTTCTTTTTAATTTTATCATATTTATAAGTGCATCAACCCAATTAAAGTATTGTGTAAAAAGAGGAAGGTGGTGACCCACCCATAGCGCAATAATGCAAGAAGATGATAAAGTGGTCGCCAATTCTGACCTTATAAAACTTCGTGCATTAATTCTTTGGCGTTAGGCCCCTTTATTTGGGTTATAGTAAGAAAATTGGAATTATTAATCTCTTAATATTATTAATGAGATATTTATTTTGAGAGATGAGGAGGAGATTATTAGTACCTTGGTATTAGTAATCTCCTTGAAAAGGAAATTGGTAAGAAAAAAAAAGAGATGATATTAAAAAAATAATAAGAAAGTTAAAAAAAAAATTATTTTTTTTAATATAATATTTAATTTTTTATATTTTTTTATTTATTTTATTATTTTATATAAAAATAATTTATCAATTCTCTCGCTACCAATTCCTTCCGTTTTATCTCTGAAAGCAACCGGCCTTACATATCATTCTCTCCTCTCCCTAATAGTCTCTCTTTCGTATTCTTTTTCTCTTTGGTTTTTTTTTTATCAATTATCAAACAGTTCGGCGACGATGAAGGTCCACGGAAGCGTACTCTCCACGGCGGCGCAGCGAGTGTTTGCTTGCCTGAACGAGAAAGAGCTCGAGTTCGAGTTTGTTCCAGTTGACATGAGATCCGGCGAGCACAAACAACCTCATTTCCTTTCTCTCAATGTAAGTAGACAAACAAAAAAAAAACAACTCTAAACCATACACATACTTGTCTTTTCTTAGCTCATATTATATGATTGTCATCAACAAAATCTATATGACCAAGGAAAGCACACCACCACCACCACCAATGTTGTGTTTTGAATTTATAATTTTAGTAAGGATTCGTGGAAGAAAAGAAAAAATAGTAGGAAAGGGTAATAAAAATGGAAGCTCAACTTTTTTCACATTTCTGTTGCTTCTTTTATTTTTCCTTCCACAACAAATTGACGCTCAAATTTAAGATTTTAGAGCCAAATCTAACAAGCTTATGGTATGCACAAAGTAGCTAGTTTCTTTTTTGGGTATGGAGTAGATTGGGGAGAGTAAGTTTTGTTGAGTTTTCTATTTTTGGTGTGGGGAGAAGAAGTTTTGCCTTTGACAACAAATTGAACTTTGATCTGCTAGTAAAGGGTAAGAATTCTAGTCAATGGGTTAGTCCAAGTTGGTAGCCTCTTCCCTTTTTAATTCTTATACAAAAATTGTATAAATAAACATTAACATATGAAGGGCCAAAATTGTTTGTCTTTCTTAATTAGCTAATATGACTGTAATAAATAAATAAAATAAATAAAAATTGTGTCTTGTTTCTTTAGCTATGAAAACAGTTACGTTGTGTTTGGATCATAGATTTGGATAGTAATTTGAAAAGAAAAATCCTTTTTCATTTTAAAATTTCTATCAAAATCCATAATCCAAGCACCGCATTAAACTTGTAAATCAAGCCATGCACAGGGTAACTGTAGTCTTTTTTCGTTTTATTTTAAATATAATTCTAACAATTGTTTGTGGTCTTGATGTAGCCATTTGGTCAAGTACCGGCCTTACAAGATGGAGATCTGACGCTCTTTGGTATAAATAAACTAATGCCTAGCTACCATATGCACTGATTTATTGATATGATCAATGAAATGCTAGCTACATATAAACTTAAAATTTTACGTTGTATTTGTATGGCTGATTCATTCCGGATGTGGGTAGGAATCATGAATAAAACAAATTGAGATCATGTTTAAAGCAAATCTCAATTACACAATGCATTTTTTGTGTTCTAATTATGTGTGCCCATATTTTATGATGTCTTGGGTGGTTGGATTACAGAGTCAAGAGCAATTAACCAATACATCGCACACACATACGTGGACAAAGGGAACCAGTTGATATGCCAGGACCCAAAGAAGATGGCAATCCTATCTGTGTGGATGGAAGTGGAGGCTCACCAGTTCGACCCAGTGGCTTCCAAGCTGTGTTTCGAGCTTCTTTATAAATCAATGTTTGGCATGAAAACAGATGACGCGGTAGTGGAGGAGAATGAGGCGAAGCTGGCTAAGGTTCTGGATGTGTACGAGGCTCGGTTGGCTCACTCCAAGTACATTGGTGGAGACTGCTTCACCTTGGCTGATCTGCATCACCTGCCCAACACTCAAATCCTGATGGCTACTCAGGCTAAGAAGCTCTTTGATTCGCGCCCACATGTGAGTGCTTGGTGTGCTGATATCCTGGCAAGGCCGGCCTGGTTGAAGGTCGTGGCAATGCAAACCAACAAATAAGCACATGATGTTGTCTCTACTTCACGGCTTTTGTGTTCCTAACTGTCTCTGTCTGTGTGTTTTGTTTCTAGTCTTTCCTGTCTTTCTTCATCCTTTCGGTGGGATGAGAAAGCAGTAGCTTTGTGAGTCAAATCTGAAATAATTTGGAATCATGATCGAGGACCATCAATAAGTAAAAGTTTCCTATGTTTGTCGAGTGTTTGGATTGTGCAGAGTACTTAATGAATTCCTTCCGCTCAGCCCCACAAAAGTTGAGAATTTGACAAATTGGTGAGAAAAATAATTTGTTTTTTTATTTTTTTTAATAAATGTTTTGAGTAGCAATTGCTAGAACAGAGGTACTGATATACCAATATTGGTTTCTCAAATTATATAAATCACATTTCATCACGAAAGAATGGAACTTCCTAAACCAAACCAAAATGAAAAAGATTCAAAGCTAGGCCTTGAAATCAACAAACAGTTACATAAAAGGAATTTTGTAGCTTGTTCTTCATGTGGATAATTGAAATGTGATTTCAAATTCCAAGCACTCGTTTTTATTTTTAATAGGAAGTTGTTTGAAATCCTTAAAAAAATTCTCTCAATTCAACTCACAGTGATGCGACGTGATATGTGTAATCTCACCATATTCATAATCCTAGTCAACTTAATTCGGCTATCAAATCCGGCTATCAAGCACAGCGTTAGGTCTATTAGTGAGGTTTTAGAATTTTACACATCTGAGCTAATTGAGCGGATTAAATAACTAATCTCTTCTCTTTTTTCTTTTTTCTTTTTTTTACAAAATAATAATAATAATAAAAGTTAACATTTCAAGGGCCAAAATTGCCTTAGCTAATATGATTGTCATAAAAAAAGGATCTGCCTTGTTTCTGTAGCTATGAAAGCACTTAACCTGCAACTCATGCCATGGACAGAGTAGCTGTAGTCTAACAATTGTTTGTCCTATTGATGTAGCCATTTGGTCAAGTACCAGCCTTTGAAGATGGAGATTTGAAACTTTTTCGTATAAATGAATTAATGCCGATCAACTATGCACAAATGATTGATATAGAGTTCATACAATAGCTATTTTATTGTTCCTTGGCCTGTTGTATTGCAGAGTCAAGGGCAATTAATCAATACATGGCACACGCTTATGTGGACAGGGGGAACCAGCTGATTTGCCAGGACCCAAAGAAGATGGCAATCCTGTCCGTGTGGATGGGGGTGGAGGCTCACCAGTTTGATCTTGTGACTTTGAAGCTGAGTTGGGAGCTAGCTATTAAACCACTGTTTGGCATGACAATGGATGCTTCGGTAATGAAGGAGAACAAGGCAAAGCTGGCTAAGGTTTTGGACGTGTATGCGGCTCAGCTGGCTCAATCGAAGTACTTGGGCGGAGAATGCTTCACATTGGCCAACATGCACCACCTGCCCAACACTCAAATCCCAATGGGTACTCAAGCAAAGAAGCTCTTTGATTCCCGCCCCACGTGAGCGCCTGGTGTGGTGATATCCTGGCAAGGCCGGCCTAGTTGAAGGTCATGGCAATGCGAACCAACAATTACGCTTAAAGTTAATCTCCGTACTCAATGTAGCACACAATGTTCTCTCAACCCCGTCTTGCAATTTCCTGTCTGTCTTTGTACGTTTCTAGTCTTCCTGTCTTTCATCCCTTCGATGGGTTGAGAGTAAGCTTTCCAAGTCAATATGAAATAATTTTTGTATCTCAAGGACCATCAAGAAGTAAAATTTCCTATCTTTGTGGAATATTTGGATTGTATGCATTCCTTTTTTCCATTTTGAACCATTAACTGAGCACAGCCCACAAAAGTTCAGAATTTTACAAATTGGTGAAGTGAAGCAGTTCTGTAAGGTAATTTTTTTATAAAAAAAAATAATAACACAAAAAATTCTTTGACATGCAATCACTAGAACAGAGGTACTGATGTCTTCTAAATTATCCAACAGCATAACAAGCAAATTGGCAAGGACAAAGGGTTCAATCAACAAATTTACAAATATCAGTTTCTCAAGTCACAGAAATCACACTTCATCACCAAAGACTAAAAACTAAACCAAATTAAAACAGAAAAATTTTCGAAGGGAAATCTTGAAATCAACAAACAGTTGCATGCACAGGAATTCTGTAACTTATTCTTTCTGTCCAAAATTGAAGCATGATTACAAATTCCACACATTCATTCTATGTCTGGTTGACAAATGCAACCTGACTTTGTGACTGTGGACCCGATTATCTCCTAGGAAGGATCTGATGAAAGGAAATACTCCTACATTATAATCCTAAATGAGCAAGGACTTGTGTTTATCAACCCTAGTTGTCTATCATTCCTTAATTCCTCATCTAACCAAAAAGAGAATGAAAGAGAAGAAAAAGTTAATGGGTGCTTACAGTTGATGAATGAGACAACCCCATAATCAGGAGAGTCCAATGTCCTTGATTTACAAGTCAAATAGACATCCCAACAAAATCTGCAGCATCCAATCCCCTTAATTTATAGCTCATTTCCTTCAGACAGCAGCAAACCGCGTTTTCAATCAGGACTGAAGCATGATTACAAATTCCACACATTCATTCTATGTCTGGTTGACAAATGCAACCTGACTTTGTGCCTGTGGACCCGATTATCTCCTAGGAAGGATCTGATGAAAGGAAATACTCCTACATTATAATCCTAAATGAGCAAGGACTTGTGTTTATCAACCCTAGTTATCTATCATTCCTTAATTCCTCATCTAACCAAAAAGAGAATGAAAGAGAAGAAAAAGTTAATGGGTGCTTACAGTTGATGAATGAGACAACCCCATAATCAGGAGAGTCCAATGTCCTTGATTTACAAGTCAAATAGACATCCCAACAAAATCTGCAGCATCCAATCCCCTTAATTTATAGTTCATTTCCTTCAGACAGCAGCAAACCGTGTTTTCAATCAGGACGTTAACATCAGCCCTTGAGTCAACATAATGTTTGTGCAAATCAGTTGACGAATGGCATGTCGACATGAGAGTTCATTTAGAAGCCAAATGAACTCTAATTGCTACTGCTAAGTTTATTTTATCCAAAGAAAGAATTCAAACAGCTGAATTGCATACATGCCAATTTTCTCTCTCTATATGTGAATGCTACAGACTTATTGTGCTAACAACTCATGAACATGATCCTGAGGTTGAAGCTCTATTGAACTAGAACCCAAGTTCTTCTTAAGTCCCCTCTCTTTCATCAGCATCCTAACCTTTTCCACATCACCCCATCTTCCCATCAATGCATAAAGATTAGACAGCACAACATAATAACTACTATTCTCTGGCTGCAACTCTATGAGTTTCCAAGCTGCAAACTCACTCAATTCTAGGTTTCCATGAGCTCTACAACCAGCTAGAAAAGCTCCCCAGACTGGTTTAGTCGGCTCAAAGGGCATTTCTTTTATGATCTTGAAAGCTTCTTCGAGATATCCAGACCGCGCAAACAGATCAACCAAACACGCATAATGCTTGATCGCTGGTGAAAATCCATAAATTCCATCAAGTATTGTACTAAAGATTTGTTGTCCCATTTGTACCAATCCAGAATGACTACAAGCACACAAAACTCCAATCAAAGTTACTTCATCTGGCTTAACCCCTTCTTGCACCATTCGAGAAAACCACCAAACAGCCTCCTGCCCACTCTTTGCTAAAGCTAGGCCTTTAATAAGGGCATTCCATGTAAAGACATTCTTTTCTTTCATGCTTTGGAAAACAGCCAAACCCTCTTCAATTCTCCCACATTTTCCATACATATCAATCAAAGAAGTTCCCAAAATCACATCCACTACCCAGCCCCTCCTCTTTATAAAACCATGTATCCAAATACCCATGTCAATAGCCCCAAAACTCGAGCATGCTGACAAAGCATTCACCATAGTCACTTGATTCGGCACTACACCAGCATATTGCATCTTCTCAAAAGCAACTAGGGCATCATCAAACTTCCCAGCTTCTCGATACCCAGTAATCATAACAGTCCATGAGACCACATCTCTCTGAGGCATTTCATCATACACTTTCCGGCACAAGTCCATATTCCCACCCGACGCGTACACATTCAATAAAGAGTTTTGAACATAAATATCATTAAAATGACCCATTTTTATGATCTGGTTATGGACGCACTGCCCTCGTTTGAGGTCGCGTAGGTCAGAGAAGGCCTTGAGAACGAACGGGAAGGTGTAGTGGTTTGGAAGAATGGAGTTCTTGTGCATTTGGGTGTAGATAGAAATTGATTTGAGAGGGGATTGGGTGTGAGAAAAGGCTTTGATGAGGGTATTGCAAATGAAGACATTGGGTGTCTGGATTTGGGAATAGAGAAGATGGGCAGAGTCAGTGAGACCCAGAGATTGGCAAGCAGTGATGAAGTGGTAAGCAATGTCGGTGTCTGGGTAGAGGTTTTGGACGATGAGTTGAGCCTGGATTTGGTAGATTTGAGAGGGTGAATTGCATATTTCCAAAAGATTGATCAGTCTGTTCGCTGCCGTGATGAGATGTGAGAATGGTCTCATTTCATAGGTGAGTGAGAATTGTCTAAGACCTGGGTTTTCAAAGAAAACCAGAGATAGTTGATCTCATAGGTGGTTAAAGAATCGTTTTTAGTTGTGAGATTTAAGTTTCAGAGAAAAAGTATTAGAAGGTAAAGAATTGCTTGAGACTTTGGATTTTCAAAGAAAGAATAGAGATGTTCGTTTCGTCTGACATGTGAGATTACGAGTTTCGGAGGACAGTTTTTGAGATTTTCTAATTTATTTTTCGAAAAAACAATTAAAAAAAAACGATTGCGCATCCAGGGAATCGAACCCTGGTCAGTACCGTGGGAGGGTACTATGATACCACTACACCAGATGCGCTTGCTGCTAGTGCCTCCAATAATTAACTTTTTCATATTTCATTTGTCCTTTTTTTTTTTTTTTTGGCTTTAGTTTTGGTTTTTGTCCCTTTTTTTTAACATGCTTTGCGTTTCAATACTATATTCACCAATAAATCCTGGAGACATTTTTGGTTCATCTTACGATTGCTCTAGGTTTACAAACAACTACATTGATCCTAATAAAACGAACTTTAGGGGATTTCAATTTTTGAATTGGAGACTCATAAATTATAGACGATATCTTCCCATAGTCTTTAGTCTTGAAAACATTATTCCTTCTCCGTGTCCGGACATCCATCCAATACATGATTTGGGAAAATCATTTCCTAGTCTAAAATCACATTTTACATTGGTCTCAACTATTTAACTATTTATGGCCATTAAATTTATTTTATTTTTCAAAAAAAGTAGAACTCAATAAAGTGAATTTTTTATAAATATTTTTATTGATAGGTCTTGACGCTTTTGCATTAAAATCATGTAAATTTTTAAATTTTTAATTTTTACTGAATTTTTTAAATATTTTTAGTAATTTTTTTAATTTTTAGACACACTTAACATAAATGTAAAAAAAGTTTTAAAAAAATTTTGTGAAAAAAACTTTAAAAAATTCACTAAATACCAAAAATGCAAAAAAAAGTATGAAAATTCTGTATATTTTTGAACTTTTTTTTTTGATAAATCTTATTTGTAACTGTTTTATTCCATAAAACCCAAACTATTTTTGAATATTTCATTAGGTCCAGTAATTGTAAAAGGACGAAATAACCCTCCTCCGCCTCTCCCGCATCTAATCGATTTTGAAAACCCGTTCCCATTCCAACTATTCAATCCACAAAATTTCCAAAACAAAAACTGATCGTCAACCCCAGATTCATATCGCCTCACCATCGTCGTCGTCCACCGTCCACCGTCGACCCCAGATTCCTCTTCATCTCACCGCTGCGAAGGTTTACATCGTAGGGAGGGTGCTTCGTCGTTCCAAAATTCCCGTTGTTGGATTGAGTTTATTTCATCGACTGAGTGTGGTCCATACCCACCCACCATGAGGAACAAAAGTAAGCAACACCATTCCACCTTCTGCTTTTCAATCATAATGTGATCACCCATGTAAACATTTACATTGCCCTATAACTGTTGTTGTTTTTGGAATTGAATTTGTAAATATAGATGATGTGAACATTCACATTACTGTTCATTACTAGATAAACTGACATTAGTAGGCACTGATGTTGTGGCACTCGAATGTTTTAAATTTAACATTACGATAAAATAAATAAATAATAGTAATAATAATAATAATAATAATAATAATAAAATAAGTATATATATATAGTGATAATAATAATAATAAATAAATGCATAATTTAAGAAATTGGAAATTTTATGGTTAAAGAAATACGTAATGAAACACTACACATTAAATATTTTAATCAGTGGTAAGTGGTGATTTATAGTAGGGTAGTGAGGTTTTTAGACGTGAACCTAACTTATCTTAGGAGTCATCTTGAAGTACCAAAGAAGGTAATAACTCTTAATTTAAAAAATGGTCAAGTGGTTAACAAGTCAACGGTCAAAAAAAATATATATATAAAAATAAAATAAAATCAAGATTATAAATGAGGGGATAAGGGTGGACCGCGTCAATATCAGTAGCTTATTACCCAAGACTGTTGTCCTATAAATAGAGGAGATTTGCGTGTTAAGGCGACGGAAAACAAGTAGTTAGAGAGTAGAAAGGAGAACGGCGAGTGAAATTTTGAGTGGTGGTGGAAAGAAAAGATAAAGGAATTAATTTAAGGTGAGTTATATTATACCTTGAGTTACCAAAAAGAATTTTACTTATGTTTTGACTTACCAAAATCTATTTTATACAAGTTATGTTTTATTAATATATTTATAAAAGTTATGTTTTATAAATGTTTCAGTTACGTGGTTTTATTTCTGAACCCTATTTGCTTAAAAGGAAACCAATGGATATGTTTGTTTTACTTTTAAAGAATATTTGGCTATGACCTTATATGAAAATATGTTTTGTAAGTACCACCACGTGAGTCTCGAGTCCCATGCCTTGGGGGACTTAAATAACCATTGGCTTAGTGAGTCCCATGCTTTGGGGGACTTAAATTACCATTGGCTTAGTGATTGACCACTTTGTGGTCTAGTGTTTGTCGTGGATCCATTGACCAGTGTAGTGCTTGGCACTTAGTGATGTACCGTGGTTATAGTGATTATTTCAGTTTCTGGCACTTAATTAATTTGTGTATTCAACTCAACTCAATTTATAATGTTTCAGCTTAAATAAATATCCATGACCATTTTGTGTCCCTCATAGTATAATATTTCTTCACTCTGCTATGTGCTTATAGCTGTTCCCCCTTTCAGGTGACGAGATTTAGCGGGACCAAGATGGAAAATGAATCGCTATGTTGTTTTGTTTTCTTTTTAGATTTCTATCTTTTATTATTAAACTCTTGTAATATAGTGAAGCTCAAATGACTATGTTTTGTTTCCTTTTAAATAAACAATTGGTACCCAGTTATTTATTTTAATTTATTTAAATTATCTGCTTGCGCTGTGACTACAGAATTATCCGAATTATTTTATTTTTATCTTGTTACGATACTGAGCCTTTGGGTATCGGGTTTGGGTCGTGACAAAAAGTGGTATCAGAGCAATGGTTTAAAAAAATAAATAAATAAAATATAAATAAATAAAATAATATATGAGAGGGTGATTTATGATCTGGAATTGGGCCGAGGCAACGGCCGAGCAGGAAGAGAGCCCAACCGTGCATGGGGCCGAGATGATCGACTATCCGCCCGGAGATGGGCTGCCAGAACTTGGCCCGGGTAGGAATTGAGCCAAGTGTGAGCCGCCCCGGACCGAAAAGAAGCTCAGCAAGGCAGTGCTCGGTTGGACCGAGCTGCTTGATCAGGGGATGGCTGAAGCCAGACAAGCTGAGTGACCGGCGCCCGGAAAGGCGTGGTCAACCGAGGAAACCGTTTGATCGGCAGGAAGGCCAACCACAGGAGGTGCCCCGGCTAGGCTCTGCCGAGATGCCGCCTAGCCCGGTCCTCCTTGGGTTTATCCAGTGAGGTGCTTGGGTATGAAGCATAGCACGGCCGTGGATAGAGCAGCTCGGCAGCCGAGCTCCTGCTGAGTAGGCAGGCAGTTGAGATTAGGTGATGATCGGCAAGGTTTATGCTGACAGATGGGATAGCGGAGCCACGTGTCAGGAGATGACTGGGAGTGGATATGGGGCGCAGAGGGTATATAAGCATGTCTGCGCCCCCCATACGCGACAGATGAACACTTTGTAAAGAATTTCTTGCATTCAAACACCTCTCTCTCTCTCTCTCTCTCTCTCTCTCTCTATCCTAAGGTGTGTGCTAACTTGATCGTCAGAGGGTTTTTCCGGCCACACACCGTCGGGTAGCTCACCATTGTTTTGCGCGCAGGTGATCGGACATAAACGGAGCATGGAGGAAAGGAGTACGGGCTTGCCGGAATATTTGCTCCCCGCACAATTGGCGCCGTCTGTGGGAAGCTTGACAGACAAAACCTTGTCTTCCAGGTTCATCTGATCGCCGTCCATGGCGAACAACGATGAGTTTCCGTTGTCTGCCATAGATGGAGCTACCCCGGAGTTCACCCGAAGGAGAGAAGGCCCTCCCGCCATCCATCCAATGGCGGACATGGGGACGCCCACCGGAGGCCAGTCAGGAGACGCGCGGGATAAGCGCGGAAGAAGTCATGGACATTCACGGAGTCCGGACGGTCACCGGCGGAGGAGAGACTCACACGCCAGACGTCTGGAAAATAAGTTGAGGGATCAAGACGTTGTCATCCGGCGAATGGCGGCGGAGATGGAGGATCTGAAGCGGCATGTCAAAGGGAAGGGTGTAGCTGGAGTGGGAGACCACAGTGAGCGCACCCCATCCCGTCGTTCAGGCGGCCAGAGTCAGCGACGTACTTAGTCCATATCTATTACCAGAAGTTACCAGGTTGGTGATTCCGACGCGCATGCAGAAAAGTCTAGCGCGCAAGACAACACCTACAAACCTTCACGTCCGGCGACGACGTCAAGGTACTCTTACTCCGCTCAGTCAGAGGATTTACGGGCGGTTTTAAAGGAGCGGGCTCGTCGGCGCGAAGCCCAGAGAATACCTGCTTTCCAGCGGCTATCCTACGGGGTTCACACCAGCGAGGAGGTCGGAATGCCTCCACCCCGCCAAGCAATGCCGCTCTTTGAAGATACAGACTTGGCTAGGCTGAGTGCCACCCCTTTTTCCCTAGAAATAGAAACAACACCGCTTCCGACAGGCTTCCACCAGGCTTGTGAAAAAATGCAACAATCAAGTTTTTGTCTCTTCGGGCCGGCTCCTCTCAAGCCGACGTAAAGCTACAACGGTCACACAAAATTTTGGCATCAGCTATGTATTTCCCAAGCATCCACAAGTTAAACAAACAACAATATATCATCTTTATTATTCAACGAGAGGAAGAGGGAGCCGAATTTCATACTCACAAATTTGGGACTGTGGTGGAAGATTATGTTGATGATCTAGTGGTGAAATGATCGGACATAAACGGAGCTCGGAAGAAAGGAATACGGGCTTGCCGGAATATTTGCTCCCCGTACAACTACCTACATATCTTTTGTAATTTACTTTTTTTTATATATAATTTTTTACCACTTTAAAGGGAAGGCAACACCCTTCAACGAGATCTTGGATTGCCCGGTCAACCTTGCAATCACGCAATACAAGCGTGGTCTCCCGGTCGGACATAGACTGCGGGACTCGCTTACCATGCACCAGCCGACCTCCATGGGCCAGCTCATGCAGCGCATCAAT